GCTCACCCTTCCCCCTCCCCATGTCCTCAAGTCCATTCTCTAGTAGGTCTGTGTCTTTATTCCTGTCTTACCCCTAGGTTCTTCATGACATTTTTTTTTTCCTTAAATTCCATATATATGTGTTAGCATACGGTATTTGTCTTCCTCTTTCTGACTTCCTTTAGGAGAACCTGACACATGTCGCCTGGGCTTGGAGACTGACGCTGGCTTCCCATCTGGAGGACTGTAAAGGAGGGACAGAGTATACAGGAGCAGCCCAAGATGGTGAGGCAAGGAGAGAGATAGGATCACGCCCTTATCTTTAGGTGGGAAGCCCTAGGCCAAGTGAATGCGGACAAAAGTAACTGGGCTCAAGGTGTGATAGGTCCCTGCCTGGGGCAGCCGCCCACCTGCCTTGGCAAAGGGAGCCAGGAGTAGTGTAGCCACTGCAGGTGTGTGGCGCGGGGACGCAGGGCAGGGGCTGAGGGGTTGTCACAGGAGGGCCCGAGATTGTCTGCCTACGTCACCTCTGAAGAACCCAACAATGCCTCCCATGAAAGCAGCAGTATTTGGGTGCCTGTCATGACGGGGGTCCCAGATTAGAGCCACTACCGATCATATGTCACTCTGCCTCTTTTTCCTCTAAGTAACCTGAACCTTGAAGGAGCCAGCAGAGCAGGGGTGGGGAGGGTTTGGGGGAAGGAAGGGGATTGAGAGGAGAGTGAAAAACTCGATCCCCACCCCCTTTTCCACTGAAGTGGAAAGTGGAGGCTTTAAATTGACAGCGATGTTGAAATTTTGAATTATGCTGGACTGGACATTCTCATACCCGAAAATGACATCAGAATGACTGTTCTGATAGCTGAGAATGACCCAAAAGCTATACAGTCCTCCAGAGCATGGCTGAACCCAATGATAAAAGATAGTTTCCTGATGTAATCCTTCAAGTCCAACAGCTTTGAAGTTTTAACCACTTCATGTCCATGTAATCCTTCCACTCCACCACTTTTTCTTCAAGTCCACAATTTTATGGTGACACCATTAAAATTTTTAAGATGCTCATGCTGGGACTCAGAAACTCTACCACTCAGTACCTACCCTAGAGAAGAAACCCTTGCACATGTGCACACAGAGGCACATCCACAGATGTTAACTGCAGCATTGTTTGTAATAACAAAGGTGAGAAACAAATACCAATCAATCAGGGAATGATAAAGTAAGCTATGACACATTCACACAGTGGAGTACTACACCGCAATCAAAAAGGAGAAGGTACGTTCTATATAGTAACATGGACAGATCGCCTGTCTGTATGACTGAATTGAAAAAAGGATGTTGCAGAATACGTAGAATAGTATGTCATACTCATATAGAGTATGACATCACTTATACAGAAAGAAAAACACTGTATTATATATCAATATTATCCGTGGGACACATATATGTACAGAAAATCCTGGAAAACTACTCACCAAACTGACAATGGGGATCATTTCTGACGAGGAAGGAAGAGAAGAAATTAGGATTTGAAAGCATGGGCAGAGAACTTTCCCCTTGTAAAATATTATTAAGTATATTCATGCATTATTTATATATTTTTTAATTTTTAAAATAATTTTAAGAACTCATATCCTTGAGGGTCTGAAAGTCTAGATCCAAACAGCCAGCACCAGGGCAAAACTTTGTGGACATCTCTTGTTTAATCTCAAAAATCTGTGCAAATTCTGTACTCCATAATGTTTCTTTTGATACGAACATGATGTTTTCGATGTTTACGTATTGGTTGAATAACGCAACTTTCCCACCACCACCGCCGTTATCAAGAAAAAGAAGAAGGATCTTGGCGTAAAGGTGAGGCTCCAGGACATACCATGCACCTGTGGTACATCCTTCAGGGTCAGACCATCATGTTCCCAGCGATACTCGAACCCCGGGAAAGAGGCAACCGAACCTGGCAGCCTAGTGAGATGCTAGTGGTCGTGAGGCCTAGGGTTATGAGGATAAATGAAATATTGAATACAAAGTTATTGACACAAAACAAGCTCTCAATAAATGTTTTTGCCTGCTGTTTAGCATGACCATTTGTTCTTGGACACACAGAAGTCAGGAGGCATAGCAAACCTCTCTGCAGCCAGTTGCAATGGGTTCCCAGAGTGTCCACAAAGGGGGATATATTAATACTAAAAGAGGAGATTCTGATCCTTTGCTGGAGGGATCCACGTCTCTGTTCCCATTTCCCCTTCCTCCAGCCCCAGGGAGATTCTGACTGAACCAGGTGACCTCCATCCAACAAGGATCACGCAGAGTTTCCCACACACTCGTCCCATCACGACTGCCTTTGGCTCAGGGACTCCATCTCTCACTCAGTCAGCCATGGGGAAGGTCACCGGGTCATTTCTCTCAATGCACACAGCCAAGCCAGGCTAACTTTACACACAAAGAACCTGTGAAGGCTGTGAAAAGGGAGTTTCCCACTGTAATTCCAACAAAAGAAAATTGCCCCCTGTAACTCCAACTCGTGGAGCAAATGTCTGAGGGCAGCCGCTGAAGAGCCATGAGACCTATCCCCGCAGTCTGCTCCCTCAAGCAAGGCAGGGACACCCATGGCCCCTCACGGGGGCAGCTCCCTGGAGGAGTCCCCACAACAGTCAAGGACACATCCACCCAACCTTCCCTCTCTCCTTCACTAGGGGGCAGTCGGGCATCACAATCTGACGGCCCCATTTTCTCTCTCACAGGCGCCTTCCCTCAGAAAAAAATCCTTGCACATTTAATCCTGTCTTGGCCTCTGTGTCTCAGAGTACCCATTTCCTAGAAAAGGGCTGGAGGCTCTTGGGCCCAAGAGCCTCCAGCCCTCCCCAGGCACCCATGATGGGGATTCAGTGCAGTGGTTGCACATTGTAAAGAGGTGCTGGGATCAAGAGAAGCTAAGAAATGTGTTTCTGGAGAAACTTGTAGGATGAGTGGGGGAAGGAAAAGCCATTCCTAGTGGAGACTTGCATAATATGGGGTGTACAGGGACCCCAAGAGTTCAGTAGGGCCAGAGTGTAGGCGTATGTGTACACGAGGCACAAGATGAGGCTGGAGGGGGGATTCCCTGTGCAGAGGTTAGGACTCCACTTTCACTGCCGAGGGCTCGGGTTCAATCCCTGGTCAGGGAACTAAGATCGCACAAGCCGAGCGGCGCACGTGGGCGGCCAAGCCAAAGACTGGGGGCTTCTTCCTGCAGGAAACTAGGAGTCCTTGAAAGTTTTGAGCAACTGAATCACATGACCACAGTTGTGTTTTTAAAAAGATTTGATGAGTCAAGACTGAAGGCTGGGCTGGCCATGAGAGGATACTGCCTAGCAATAGGTCATTCATCTCTTCACACAGATTCAATGAGGAAGGAGTCGGAATATAATAGCGTTTATTCATGCTGCTGGATTCGACAACCAAAGAATCCCTTTACTTTATGGTTTTATTTTCTAGCATGAAAGAGCTTCTCAAATGAATCCTCTCTTCTGTGTCCCAGAGCCAGGGTCCAAGAGGCCCTCCTCTGTGAGACGCAGCCAGGAGTGCACCCCCAGCCAGGTCTTGAGGCCTTTCTTACCCTGCCCACCTTCCTCTCCCCCCACCCCCAGAAAATCCCCACAGTTGCCAGGGGGCCCCAGGCCTTTTCACACAGCAGCAGCAGGCCCACTGGTGACAATGCATGGCTGCAGGCCTTCACCCTCCCTTAGGATGAGAGAGGCAGCAGCCACCTGTCCCACCTGCCTGAGTCCCCAAAAACCTCTCCCTCCAGGGAAGAGGGACTCCCACTCTTGGCTTCAGTGGTTACTCCAAAACCCAAGAAACAGGGCTTTGAGTTAAAAAAAAAAAAAAGTTGGCTTTTGAGGAGGCAACTGGGGGGTGGGGGATGTGATGAGGTGGGAGCTTCTATCCTCCACAAGCAGCAGGGCCCAGGGCAGGGCTAGCTTCAGGCTCTTTCTCTTCGTTGGCAACTTGGGGGATTTCCTCCATGTCCTAGACACTCAGTGAACATATTCCAGAGACAAAGGGCAAAAAATTGGGGGTCAGTTTATTCACCCAGCATAGGCTCTGGCAGTTTTTATTTTTATTTTTTTTAATTTATTTATTTATTTGTTTGTTTTTTACTTTTGGCTGCTTTGGGTCTTCATTGCTGAGCGCGGGCTTTCTCTAGTTGCAGCGAGCAGGGGCTACTCTACGTTGCGGTGCGTGGGCTTCTCATTGCAGTGGCTTCTCTTGTGGCAGAGCACAGGCTCTAGGCGTGCGGGCTCAGTAGTTCTGACTCACAGGCTCTAGAGCACAGGCTCAGTAGTTGTGGCGGACAGGCTTAGTTGCTCCACGGCATGTGGGATCTTCCCGGACCAGGGCTCGAACCTGTGTGCCCTGCATTGGCAGGTGGATTCTTAACCACTGTTAAGGGCTTCCACAGGGAAGCCCTCTTGCAGTTTTTAAACAGCTGTTGCATGGAGGAATATGTTTTGGGTCTTCCATGCCTCATAGCTGACAGCTATGTGATAACTGACTCTCTATAACAGAGAGCTGACTGAACAGAAGGAGGGCTACCTAAGTCAGCAATGCTTCAGGTGTGATCCTGCTTGTGACCTGTAGCATCAGCACCCCCTGCAGACTTGTTAGAAAGGCACATTTTTGACCTGCCCTGGTGTACTGAACCAGAACTGTTAGGTGCCTTGAAAAGGTGATATTGATGCATGCTCCAGTTGGGGAATCACCAAGTGGAAGGCCTCTTGCTACAGTGAGTCTGGACCCTGGCAGTGGAGGCCCCCAAGGGGGAGCGGAGTGTGAGCCTGCAGGGGCTCCTTACTCTACATCAGGGCTCCCCAACCCCCAGGGCCACAGACCAGTGGCAGTCTGTGGCCCGTTAGGAACCGGGGCCGCACAGCAGGAGGTGGGCTGCACGCAAGCCAGCCGCAGCTTCATCTGCGCTCCCCATCGCTGGCATTAACCGCCTGAACCATCCCCCACACCCCCGCCCCCAACCCCCATCCGTGGAAAAATTGTCTTCCACGAAACCGGTCCCTGGTGCCAAAAAGGTTGCGGACCGCTGCTCTACAGAGTTCTCCAGCTCCTCCCCGCAATTCTCCCCAAGCCCCCTGACCCTTCCCCAATCTGTTTCTTCCCGGAACCCTTGGGCTTTCCTGGTTCCCCAAGTGGAGTTCCCCCACTGACCTGACTTCAGATCTCCCTTTCCCACCACCACCCCAACCCCTGGCTGGCAGTCCCCTGTTCATGCCAACCCCAAAGTTCTCACAACGCTTGGAGTCCCCGGTCCCCAACCCCCTCCGCCCTGCCTTCAAGCCCGGCAACCCAACCCGTCTCTCCTTCCAGGCCGGCAGGGCCCCGCACCCTCCCCAAACCCGGCGGGTGGCTCAGGCGTCGCCACCGCCGTCGGGCCCCACGAGCAGCAGCGGCTGAGTGTTCTTGCCCTTGTCGTGCCAGCACACGTCGAAGAAGGGGTACACAGGCCCGGGCAGGCGCTCGTGGAAGGCGAAGAGCAGCTCGAGTGCGTCGGGGTCGCTGGCATCGTAGAAGGAGAGGACGCCATCGCAGAAGCTCAGGTAGATCCCGATGCGCGTCGGCCGCCTCTCGGGGGTGCGCAGGGCACGGGGCTCCTTAGCCTCGACGTGAGCCTCCAGGATCTTGCCTTCGCGCAGCCCGAGCAGCCAGAGCCCCTGCGAGGGCACCGCTTGCAGCCGGCCGCGGCGACCAGCCTGGGCCGAGATCACGCCCAGCGCCCAGCGCGGCTTGTCGCCCACCTCCACCTCCCAGTAATGCTCGCCCTCGGAGAGCAGCTGGTGCGCCACTACCGCCACGGCCTTGTCAAACTGGCGTGGGTCCTCTCCGGCCGGCGGCGCCTTCTGCTCCGAGCACTCCACACGGCGGCCCGAGGCACACAGCACCAGGCTTGGGTGGGCCGTGCTCGGGTCAAAGGTCAGCTCCTGCAGCGCTGCCACCGGAGGGAGGAGGGTCAGGCCCTGCGGGTGTGGCTCCCGCGAGCCTTCTGCCCACCCACCTGTGGGCCAGCTTGGTATCCTCTAATCCTCCCGGCATCTCTGGGAAGTGAGCCCCTCTCTGCTTACTGGTGGGGGCCAAAGACCACACCTCTCAGGGCTTCAGACAGTTCAGCTGTAAAACGAGGCCGTAATTGCCTCCTTCCAGGGTTGTGGGCAGGAGTAAGTTGATACAAGGCATGTCACTCGCTGTCTAAGGCCCCAGAGCAGGAGATGGTAAGGAAGCCCGGTCCTAGGCAAGTCCCTACCTCGCCCCACAGTGTGACCTCAGCCTTGATCCAGTCTCTGGGCCTTAGTCTTCTCTTGGATAAAATGGAGGTCCCTCCATTCCCACAAGTGAGGGCTGCACCAGCCTTGTGTACGTGTCCTGGAGCCTATAACCTGCAGCACCCCAATGTGCTTTAGCTATTGGGGAGAGGAGGCTGAGCCCTTGGGCCTCCCCAGCCACAGGCCAGAGTCAGTGTCTGACCGCAGGATTCCATTGCTGCAGGTCCTCAGCCCCCAGTTAGCAGGGATCATCATCTCCACTGGCCAACAGGGGCAGGGATGGGCCAAGGATCACGCAGGGCTCAAACCCGGGCCCCAGCCTCCCCTGCTGCCGGCAGCAACATCCTTTCAGTAAGCAGTGTCCTCACCATGTCAGTCACCCACCTGAAAACCCCATGCCCTCTCAGATCCCTCTCTGAGCACAGGTTATGAAGGTGCAGGGAAACCCCAAGGGAAAGGGGCAGTGGGCCCTTCTTGGATGACCTCCCCAGTTGGGATTGGGAGGCCTCTCTGCATGTGGCCGGAGCCTCCCATCAACCACACAGTTACAAACGCAAACCCAGAGCAAGACCCTCCCAGTACCTGGCATCAGAGCTCGGAACATCTTCCTCCACACCTGGAATTTGAAGTCATCTGAGATGACGGGCAGCTGGATGTCCAGACGGGCAGGTGGTGGTGACTCTGCCAGGATCTTCTGCAGCCTGGTGGGGGAGGGGGGGGAGGTGTGTGCGAAGGGACTTCCTGGAGGAGGCACGGGGTTGGGGGAGGGCAAGCGGGAGTACCCAGAAGAGAGGAGGATGCGTGCTGCGGTGGAGTTCCAGGGTTCCCCCCACACCAGCCCCACCACATCACATCCTGGCTTAAAACTCCTCTGTTGGTGTTTCAGTTGGGGAAGATGAAAAAGTTGTGGAGATGGATGGCGGTGATGGTTACACAACAACATGAATGTACTTAATGCCACTGAACTTAAAATGTACACTAAAAAAAAATGGTTAAAATGGGGGAATTCCCTGGTGATCCAGTAGTTAGGATTCTGTGCTTTCACTGCGGATCCCTGGTCAGGAAACTAAGATCTCACAAGCCGTGCCAAAAACAAAAAAAAAGGTTAAAATGGTAAATTTTATGTTATGAATATTTTACTAGAATTTTTTTAAAGCCTTCTGTTAGGATAAGGTCCAGCTCCTCCGCCCTTCACAGTTGGGCCCCTCCTGCCTCACCAGCTTCATCTTCCCTCCCTCTTAGCGGTTTGCACTGCTGTTCCCCCTGCCTGCAATGCTCTTCCACCAACTCTTTAACCTAGCCAACTCCTGTTCACTCCTTCAGCATCCAACTCTACAATGCACACCTCCGGAAAACCTGCCCTGGCCACCCCCTCCCCTCCACAGCAGCACTGAGTGATCCCTGTGTGCTGTGTCCCTGTCTGTCTCCAGGACCAGTCTGGGAGGTCCCCGAGGAGAAGGACGGGTTGGGTTCTTTTCTACATCCACACAAAGTGCAGGGGAATCGCAGTGGACTGAATGCGAGTAGAGGGTGAGCCAGCCAGTGTCCCTGGCAGACAAGGGCAAAGTGGGAAAGGGGGCAGGGCCAGGCTGATCTCACCTGCTGGTCACCAGGCAGTATTTCTGGAAAGAGAGAAAAAGAGAATGGAGCTGAGCAGGCAGTGGGGACACTGGGGACTTCTGAGGGTGGGGTGGACCACAGAAATGCTAAGTGTGGGACCAGGAAGAATCAGAGAAGACAAAAGAAACCCAGAATTCAAGGTCGCCCTTAGCCTTTTACCTCTGTGTGAATTCGAAAAAAGTACCCTCCTGGGACTTCCCTGATGTCCCAGTGGTTAAGAATCTGCCTGCCAATGCAGGGGACACGGGTTCAAGCCCTGGTCCGGGAAGATCCCACATGCCGCGGAGCACCTAAGCCCGTGCGCCACAACCACGAAGCCTGAGCTCTAGAGCCTGCGAGCTACAACTACTGAGCCCACATGCCTAGAGCAACAAGAGAAGCCACCGCAATGAGAAGGCCGCGCACCATAACGAACAGTAGCCCCCGCTCGCCACAAGTAGAGAAAGCAGCAACGAAGACCCAATCCAGCCAAAAATAAAATAAATACAAATAATTTTTTTAATTTAAAAAATGAATAAAGTACCCCCTTCCTCAAGAAACTAATTCCACCTGGTAAAAACATTGTCCTAATAAATATGCAGACCTACAATATCTATGATATGAATGGTGCCCACTTAGATATAGCGTCCTTGTGCAGTGCCCAACTTAAACAACCATAATGGCCATCTTGGGGTGCACCCCTCCTCAGTGTGTGACACTGGCTCTCCCCTGCCCCTCTCTGGACCTCAGGGGTCCCTTCCTGACAATGGAATGAGGTCTCTGAGACCTGAACCCTGGCTGAGGGGCAGAGAGGAAAGCCACCCAGCGCTCACCATGAGGAACTCAGTCTGTGGCTTGTCTGCCACCTCCTCCAGCACCTTCTCCATCTGCCGCAGCTGCTCCAGGTAAGAGTTCAGGCTCCCCAGCTCCCGTCGCAAGGCCACCCCTGCCTCACCCCGTACACGTTCAGCTTCGCGGTCCAAGGAGCCCTCCAGTGCAGCCAGGAACAACCGCATCTTGCCCAGCTGCTCTCCCACGGCCCCCCGGAACTGACGCACTGTCTCCTGTGGGGACAGACAGACAAAAACATTTAGCCGGGAACCCCCAGCCTAGACCCCCAGTCCCCGAGCTCTGCTGTGCGGAGCCCCTCACCTCCACCTCCACCAGCTGATGCTCCAGCACAGCCACACTCTTCTCCTTCCGCATACATGCCTCCTGCAGCTGCAGCTTCTGCTGTGGGAGCTGCGTCTGGGCAGTGAGACATAAAGAAGTGATGTTGCTGCCCACCTCCCCCACTTAACCTGCTCCCTCTGGCTCAGCCTCAGCGCCACCTTCTCTTCCAGCCAGGCTGGCATCTTACCATACACGCTCGCTGGTCTCAAGCCCTTGCCGGTACTGGTTCTGAGGTCTAGAATGCTTCACCCTCCTGTGGTCTGGCTAGGTAAGTCCTCCCTAGCCTTGCCTTCCTTCCCTGATTCCATCCCCTCAGCAGACAGCCCCCCAGCACAGGTCTCTGTGAGGATGATAATCACAAATGTGGTTTGGTCTCCTCCACTGGAGGGGCAGGGGCTTTGCACACAGCAGGTTTCAGTGGTGAGCAGAGGATGTGAAAAGAAGAAATGCAGCCTCCTCCTATTCCTGGCCTTCACCCTATACTTAAAAGCTGAACCTTAGCAAAACGCCCTAATCAGCCTCCCTGCACACCGGTGGGCTCTTGGGGTAGACATTTTAATAAAAATGTCTTCTGCATGAATGAACCAAACATATCTGTGGGTCAGCTCCTACCGTAGGTCTGTCAGTTTGTGATTCCTGAAATGCAGGTGTAGGGGAGTTCCTATACCTCCAGCCAAAGCCACTGTTTGCTGGGAGGTGCACGGCCCTGGAATCAGACCCATGGCCCTGGAATCAGCCATGCCTCCATGGCTTCCAACCTCAGTTTGGTCTTCTGCAGAATGGGAACAGTCATCCCCACCTCACCTCTGGTTGTGACAAATTGGCAGCCTCCTTCCCACCTCCCCCTAAAGGAAGCCGGGAGACCCTCTAAGCACTGTTTGCTGATGAATCCCCACTGGAATTGTACCATGGGCTCCCGTGGCCAGCCACCAGGTCAGTCTCCTGCCCCAGACGTCCTGCAGGACAGGGTGGGCCTGGTGGCTCTCAGCCATCTGAGGTTCATGGGCAGAAGGGCTGAGTCATGGGGACCAAGCACAATGCCACCCTAGAAGCTGGGGGCTGCACAGAGACTTTCGGAACATCCCGCAGTGAGGAGGTGTGGGGAGCAGTGCTCCACGATGTGGCGTGTGGTGAATCTTACCGACAGGCTTGTCTCCTACTCCGAGGTGTGCAGGAGGAGGCAGCACGGCTTCAGGGGGGTGTGAGTGTCCCCCTCACCCGGCAGATCCCATTCAACCATACTTGGGTCTGGCACATGGTCTCTGGACCCAGCCCCTCTTCCTCCCCAAGGACCCAGGTGTTCAGTCCCACCCCAGGCTTCCTGCCCCGCTTCTCCTTCAGGCTCCTTCCAGGGATCCCCATTTCAGACCTAAAGCCAGCCCCTCTCTGCGGCTTAGGGTTGGGCTGGTACAGGCCCTGGCAGACTGTATCCCACCCCACCTGCCCCCTGGAGGCTCCTGGGCTGCCTGCTGCCCTGTCCCATTTCACAGACTCTGTTCTCTCTTCACAGATAAAGATGGATAAGGATGGGAGTTCTGTGGTTATCAGCAGAGGTGAGCCTGGGTAGGGAGGGCTCCTGGGTGGAGGAGGCTCCTGCACTGGGTTAGGGACCACCAGCCAGCACCGAGCTGGACTGTGCTAGGCTGAAGCCGGAGGTACGGTGAACTTGGGCCCCTGGGAGAGAGTGGGGCCTTCGAATACCAGCCTCAGGGCGGGGTCTACCCCCTCTAGGAGTCTGGAGCCAAGGAGAAGTGCATTGCAACGCTGATGTTTGTGGGCAAAGATTACCCACCCCCCCACCCCCCCAAACAGCAGCGCGAGAAGACGCTAGCAGTTTCTGCACCGCGGAGACGGCGACGGAGCACCGCTCCACGCCTCCAGACCCCGCCTCCTCCCGCCCCTGCACCTGTCGTTTATTCTTCCAACGACCCTATAAATGCTTCATGACAGACCTCCTCGGGCCTGTGTATACCTAAAACCCTCCCGTAGCTGCATGCGTGTGATTTGCCATACGTATGACAGCTGAGCCAGCGTGTGCCTGTGTCCCCATTTGCCAATGCCTGGGTGTCTTTGCTGGGCTTCCATGGAGATCGCCAACCTCGGGGCGCACAACTGTGTGTGGGCTCTGGAAGCGTTCGGAACTTCCAGCTCCAATCACAATAACAGCCTGGACTTGGGTCTCGGTGCCAACCTGGGCCTGTGCACAGAGGTGCGTACCCAGGCGTGCCTTGGCCTCCCGGGTCCCCTTGGATTAGGCCACATCTGATGACGGTCAGGCCCGCACAAGCTCTGCTGCTCCAGGGGCGCAGGGGGGGGCCACCGCCCAGCAGCTGTGTGCCCGCCCCGCCCAGCACCACGCCCCGCCCCTCTTACCCGGGCCTGTGCCCAGCAGCAGAGCCTGCGCGCCTGGGCCGCGGGCACCGACTCAGTCCTCGCTCAGCCCCCGGCTCCGCAGACTCCGCCCTATGGCTGAGTCCCCCGCATCTCCGGCGCGCTCCAGCTGGCGCGCCTATCTCGCCGAGGCCGGTCTCCGAGCGCCTCTTCAAGGCTCGGGTCTCCGCCAAGCTCCGCCTTGAGCTCATCAGCATCCCCATTCCCTAGCCGCCCCGCCCTGCCCGCGTACCTGGCAACTCCAGGCGCCCCGGGCCCTGAAGCTCAAGAGGCCCGATCGGCCCGGCCCCGACCCGTCCAACAACCCCATCCGCCCCCGCCCCCCACCGGAGGCCGCCCGGCCCCGCACCTTGAGGCGCGCATGGGCTTCGGCGGCGGGCAGCAGGCGGTGGCCGCGATGCGAACCGAGCGAGGCGCACACGCCGCACACGAGCACGCGGTCCTGCTCGCAGTAGATGCTCAGCGGGTCTAGGTGCTCTTCGCAGTGGCCCTGTGGCACCTGCGCCAGCCCCTCCACCAGGCGCGCCAGCTGCAGGTTGATGCTGAGCGCCTGCGGCCGCGTGGGTGCCTGGCAGCTCGGGCAGAGCACCGTGCCGTCCGCGGCCGGCTCCCCTGCCACGCGGCCCAGGCAGGCGCGGCAGAAGCTGTGGCCGCACTCGGCTGTCACGGGCGCGTCGAACAGCTGCAGGCACAGCGGGCAGGACAGCTCCTGGTGCAGGAGGCCGGGTGCAGCCGACATTGCGGGCCTGGGTAAGGAGGTGTCGGTCAGGGAGGCTCAGCGGAGCCACAATCCCGGGCCAGCCCCAGCCCCAGGCCGGGTTGGCAGCCCCGCGCCGGTTTGGCAGCCCCGCAGGGAGGAGCCCCAGCCTATAGAAGCCTCTCATCTCAAACAGGAAGGGACTCTGGTTCCGGCCAAGGGAGGGAAGGGGACTCCCTCTCAGTCCCAAAGGCAGCCTCAACTGCGGTTCTCAGCCCCGGCCCCCCAAATAGCCCCTATCAGGGACCCGGTCTCAATCCCAGTTCCTAAACACGAGGCTGGGTTGCAAACACGGTCTTACCCACTATCCTTCCCCCGACTTAGCCCCAGGCCTCAGCCCCAACCCCAGATTCTCAAGCGCCCCTCCCCCCTCCCCTCCTCTCACCTCTCCAGGGCCCGCAGCCCTCCCCTCCTCCATATCCCCAGGCCGGCAGGACCCGCAGGACTCACAGGTCTGGTTGGAGATCTTGGACAGAAAGAGACTTGCAAGAGGCCCAGTCAAGGTCAGGCCTAACTGTAGGTGGGTCAGATCTGTGTCTGAAGACAGGTGAGAAGGAAGCACCGAGCTCAGACCGAGGACAAGGGACACCACGGGTGATGGGCCCGCATTGAATAGCAGACAGCCCCTCCCAGACTGAGCTCTGGCCCCAGGACTATATTTAGCTGCCCTGCCCATCCCCTTCCATCACTTCTGGAAACCGTTCTAAAAGTGAGGACTGAGCTGTCAGCGGACAAGCATCACATGTCAAGGCCACCTGTCCTGGCCCATCCCACTGCCCTCTCCCCTGCCCAGCCTGGAGCCAGAGCTCAGAGCCAGCAGAGACAGGGCCTCTCATACCACGGAAAAGACAGAAACATGATTGAAGGGAGTCTCCTCTTTCTCCCTCACCCCAGCCTCCGCACTCTCCAGCCTCCCCCGTTCCCTGCCTGTGGCCCCCTCCCCAGCTTGTCACCCACTTATTCCCCAGGGTTAAGGCTCTCCAAAGTCACACCGGCAGTATTATTTCCACATTCGGGAGAATAGAACCTCCCCCAACCCTGAAAGTTTTTATTCCTGCAGGGCTGAGGGGAGAGCCTTTTCCCTGTTGGTGTCTCCAATGCTCAGCACAAGCTATGGGGCAAAGTGGGCCTCCCTAAGTGCTTGGAAAATGAGTGATAGAGGGACAGCTGAATAAATGAATGAACTAGATCCAGAGCCTGCAGCCGAGAGCCTCAAGGCTTATCCTTCAAATCTCAATTTAAAAACCAAAGTCCTAGGGGCTTCCCTGGTGGCGCAGTGGTTGAGAGTCCGCCTGCTGATGCAGGGGACACGGGTTCGTGCCCCGGTCCGGGAAGATCCCACATGCCGCAGAGCGGCTGGGCCTGTGAGCCATGGCCGCTGAGCCTGCGCGTCTGGAGTCTGTGCTCCGCAGCGGGAGAGGCCACAACAGTGAAAGGCCCACATACCGAAAAAAAAACAAAAGACAAAAAACCAAAGTCCTCACACCCTAGTCATCACTCACCTCTCCCTCTGCTCACTCCCGCCTCGGCCTTTGCATTTCTCTCCCCTCTGCCTGGAACACTCTTTCAAACCCCAGTTATTTCGTGGCTGCCTCCCCCTCCTCCCTCAGATCTTTACCCCATGTCACTTTTTCAGTGGGGCTTTTCCTACCTCCCTGATTTTAAATCTCACATCTCCCTTCCCCTTTTTATCTTTCTCCATAACATTTATCACGATCTGACACATGATATATTTTACTTGTTGGTTCCTTGTCTGTCTCCTCCTACCAGAATATAAATTTTGTTCACTGCTCATCTCCAACTTTGAACAAAGTCTGTGGCACACAGCAGGTGCTCAGTAAATACTTAGTGAATGAATAAACACAGAGACTCACTCTGTCCTCTTCTGGCCTCTCAGCCTTTTCCTGGATTTGTTCATTTCTCCCTCAACCACTCTCCATCTCTGTTAGTCTGAGCTTCGACAAGAGCCAGGTCAATTGTCCCATGAGAGTAGCCAGACACCCCGTAGGTGAGAATCAAGGAAGAATTATTTTCCCTGCTTATAAAGGAGAAGGAAGCAGCTGTCCCCCTTCCCTCCTTAAAAGTCTTCTTTTTTTTGGCCACGCCTTGCAACATGAGGAATCTTAGCTCCTGACCAGGAATCGAACCCATGGCCCCTGCAATGGAAGTGTGGAGTCTTAACCACTGGACCACCAGGGAAGCCCCCCTTAAAGATCTTCTTACTCCAACTTTTTGGCAAGTAAACAAATCTCCCCAGGAGTCAGATAGCTCCTAGCACACCTCTGCTTTTATGACTTGTCTCTGAGTTCTGGGGCTCATTCCTTCTTGAACCGTTGAAGTTCTTGCATGTTTCATGCTGGCCCGCTGAGGGAGCTGCTCCAGGCTCCCTGGCACCTTGGGGTCTTAACCTAGGAACTTTGTTCAGGCTGTAATGATTTGGGCCTCTCAGGAAGAGATAAGTGAGGTTTTATCATTCTTTTGGATTAGAGCAATTAATCCTGGTTATATGAAGGATTCTGGTTATATGAAGTGTCTCAGGAAGATAGGGCTTTTTACCAGAACCCTGAGAAATCCAGAGAAGTTCCACTTCCCCAAACAGGAGGCAGGTGGGGATGAGAGCACATCTGGAGCTGGTCTCTGAAACCACTAGCCACTTCATTTTAGTTCAAAAAGTCAACATCCTGAATATAGATCTCACCTGGAGTTTCTACCCCTACCAGCCTAGGGCTGAAGGTTTTGGTCACTAGGAGTGGGTGCCCAGGAAAGGGAGGTGATACTCAACTCAATCCTTTTCTGTAGATGGGCCAGATCTGACCTCTGACCCATGAAAGGGACATAGATCAACTACAGCAGGGTGGGGGACAAGAAGGGGCCCAAAACCACGTCCAGGGGAGGAGGAGGTGAGGACTAGTATTGCTGAGGCCCAGAACTCAGAGGGGGCAGATTTCAGCTTGTCCTAAGGGAGAGCTTCCCAACGGCTGGAGTGATAAGTGCCATGGGAGGTGAGAACTCCTTGTATTAGATAAATGCAAAGAGAAGCCAGAAATCCCCCGATCAGGGCCCCTGCAGATGCAGGATCTGAATGCTGGTGTCACAAACTCATGCTGGGTGTCCCCAGAAAGATCACCTACCCTTTTGGGCTGCAGCGTCTTCAGCTACAACATAAGGATAAGTAGGATAATAATACCATCCCTGTAGGGTTGTTATGAGGATGAAACTAGATAATATACTAAATAAACAGCAAGGACAGCATGCTGGCACCCAAGGACTTCGGAAGCAGTGACTGCCACCACTAGGCTCAGATCTTGACTGCTCTTTCCTCATCGTGTGACCTTGATCAACCTGATTTTCTCATCTGGAAAATGGGGATCATGTCAGGATTATTATCGAGACTATTGGATCATTAGGAAGATTCAACAAGCTAATTCATAGAAAGCTTTTAGAACAATGCCAGGCCCGTAGAAAATGTTCAATAAATGTTGATATTGATATTATTACAATTATTACTACTAATTGTTCCAACGAACCTTCCCTACAGCCCCATAAGGTCAATAACATCATCCCCACTTCACAGATTCGGAAACTGAAGAATGTTAAGAAACTTTAACAATGACAAAAGCACCTACTCTGTGCCAGGCCTGTTCCAAGCACTTCACACTTCTCAATCCAGTTATAGCCTCATAACCTCATTTATAACCTCATAACAACCCCATCATTTTCCCTATCTTAACAGGAAGTCATGAGGCATAAAGAGATTAAATGACTTGCCCAATGTCCTGGAAGTCTATGGTCTTCTGACCCCAGGAGGTGCAATCTGGCTCCAGCAATCAGTTACTCTTGTTGGGGGGTAGAGGTGTCGGATCACACCCAGGAAGCATCTTACCACCAACAACTGGTCTGGCCTAGTCCAGGGGGCAAGAAGGTGGGCCCGAGGGGAGACCCGGAGGTTTTTTCCTGCCAGGAGTCAAAGCTCAGAACTCGGAGTACTTCCCCCAGAAAAGGGGGGCCCAGGGAGAAGGGATTACCACAGCTTCCCAGAGAGTTGCCCAGGGCTCCTATTCCCCACCTCTGCAGGGGGAAACCTCCCTGCAGTCTCCAACAACGAGCTGGCTCTGAGTCTACCTCCCTAGGGTACCCTAGAGAAGCCACTGTCCTTCTCAGAGCATTCATTTCCTATGCGCTGGCGAGTGCAGACCCCGGAAGAGGGCTGTGACCACCCTGAGTCACACAGCTAAGAGGTAGAGGGTCTGGGAATCAAACCTGAGTGGGTCTGATACCCCTCATCTCCTGTTTTTCCCACTATTCCACAGTCTTCTGAATGTGCTTTGTAAGTTTCTTGAGCATTCTGCAAAGAGGAGGAAGTTAACCGTTATCATTCCTAGTATTGCAACATCTGCCCTCCTAAGGGAGTATTCCGACAGTCTGGAGGAGGCATACATTTCCATGTACATTATCTCTCCAAGCAATTTGTCAATTTCTGAAGCCAGAGAGTGGGACTTTGAGGACGTAGGTTGGAATTTGGGCCCAGGAGTCAGGTGGCTCCGTCTGTATTTCCTCATGTACTACCAGTGCAGTCTTCCAGAGGAATTTTTGAAAACTTCAGTTTCCTCCTCTGTGAGGTAGGATAGACACACTTACCTCATGGGGTTGTTGGGAGAATTAAGTGAGATTATGCATGTTAAGTGCTTAACACAGTGCCTGGAACAGTAAATTTGAAAAAGGGAAGCTGTCATTACTATTATTAGTCTCCCACATCACTTATCATGAGGTTGGGCATCTAGTAGGTTCTTAGGACATCTTTTTTCTAATTTGTAAATTTTTATTTTTTATTGAAGTGTAGTTGATTTACAATGTTTCAGGTGTACAGCAAAGCGATTCAGTTATACATGTGTGTGTGTGTATATATATTCTTTTTCCAATTCTTTTCCATTATAGGTATTACAAGATATTGAATATAGTTCCCTGTGCTATACAGTAGGTCCTTGTTTATCTATTTTATATATAGTTAATACATCTTTTTAGAATCAAATAGATTTTCCTTCTGAGTTGAGAGTCTACAGTGGGCTCAATAGAGCATGTCCACCTGACAAGGTGTCACTTGTGCTCTCTGACCTCCAGCCTGAAATCACTGCAGGAGTGAGGCTTCCACTGCTAGTAGAGGATGCTCCTGCACTTCCAGCCCCTTGTCCCTTGGCTCCCTGTGACATCACACCAAAGTGCTAGCGTGTGCTCTGAGGCATGTCAGGCGAAAAATCACAGCCGGATCTTCTGTGTCTCCGTATGAATGTGTGTGAGCAGGAATGAGACTGAGTCAGGTGCCAGGGGCCAAGCTGGGTCCAAGAGGAAGGGCCCTGGGTGGTGATAAGCAGGAACAAGGGAAGGGGCACTGTGGAAGCCAGGTGTGAGGAGGAGACCTCCTAGTCATGACACACACTCCCCAGTGTGCAATTTCCTGCAGCCCCAAAAGTTCCATTGAGATGTGTTACGTTGGTTTTACGTAAAGCCAAGGCCACCCCATCCAAACAAGAATTCAAGAGATGCAGTCAAATGGCCATATGTACGGCCAAGGGGATCCCTGCTCTTTTGGGGAGGTGCGGTTTGAATCAGGCAATCGCTTTTTAAATTCCATGGATCAAACACCCACAGCTTCTAAGATTCCAACAAACGTGAAAAGAGCAGGTTTCTATGATTCTAGATTCTAGGATTCTTTTGTCATTTCATGAAAGCTTATCAAGGCTGGATCTGTGCCAAGCCCTGTGCTGGGTGCTGTGGACCTGAAAGGGTCCTCAGTCTGGTGAGGAAAGCAGAGTGACCAGACACACTGTGTGGTAAACACTGTGAGAAAGGCATCATAGGGGCATCCAGCCGACATGGCCAAGGAATAATTCATTTTGCACAGAGGACAGTAAAGCCAACTGGGAGGAGTAGACAGCAGCCAGACTCAGAAGCTAACCAGACAACCTGCATGATCCCTCAGCTATATGACCTTGGGCAAGTCCTTCAACCTCTCTGAGCCTCAATCTTCTCACTTGTACAACAGGGCTACTATTCCCTATCCCAAAGGGACTGTTGTAAGGGTTAGAAATAACGCATGTGAAGGATCACAGCCTACATATAGGGGCTCAGTTTTTCTATTTCTTAGAAAAAGTGACTCCTGATGCATGTTGGAGGACAGGCAGGAACTCATCAAGCAGACCAGGAGGGAAGAGAGGCCAAGTAGAGAGCAGGTGCTGCACGTGCAGAGGTCCAGAGGCCCACAGGGTAGAAGGTGCTGCCGAGGAAGCTGGCAAGGGACTTAAAGGCCAAGCCAAGGAGCTTAGACTTGATTCTGGGGGCACTGAGGGGTCATAGGAGGTTTTCAAGCAGGGGAGGGACAGCATCAATGTGTGGGCTAGGAAGATGTAGCCTTCTGGCCACAGTGCACAAAATGACATGGAGAATCTGCAAGGACGAAGACCAGTGAAGAGGCACAATAATAAACAGCCATGAGCCAGGGAACACTAGCCGCTGGGCCACAAGTGCCACCCATGGTAAGGATGTTGGCACACAGTACTACCCAGCCTGTGTGGGGCAACACGCACACGGATGGGGAGCAGGGCCCTGCTACTCTGCTGGAAGCTTTTGGAACACATGTTGCAGGTAACACAGCCTCAGTCATTCCTTCATTCAGCAAATCTTCACTGAGTACCTACTATGTCCCAGGCACTCTTGATGCTGGAGATTCAGCAATGAACCAGACAAGGTCCCTGCCCTCATAGAGCTCATGTTTTAGTGGGGAGGTGGGTGCCTAAACATACTCACAGTTACAATTTAGTCACAATTGCTGTAAGAGCTACAAATCAGTAGCAAGTGTTTTGAACTGGAGGGATTCTAAACCTGGTCTCCCAGAGGAAGTAGCATTTAACTTAAGACCTAAAGTCTTGAGAGTTTGTCAGGCAAAGAGTGAGGGAAGAGAGCTCCAGGCTGAGGGAACAGCATGTGCAAAGGCTTGGAGAAGCAAAGGAGCCTGGCACATTTGAAGAACTGAGAGGCCAGTGTGGTTGGAACTCAGAGATGGAGTGTGGTCAGGGTGTGGTGCAAGACAAGGCTGGCGAGGTGCACAGGGGCAGACCAGCAGGGCCTTCCCAGCCATGTTAAGGGCAAATTAAGGATTCTGGGCACAGCTTAGCCTCCAAAGCCAACCCACGCCATCCCACTCCAACCTACACCAACCCAAGACACCTTTCATCTGCTCTTCTGGGTCAAGCCCCCTGACCCCAGAATAGCTCTCTTCCCATGACCTTCCCTCCAGTCAAGAATTTTCTCAACCATTCCAAGTGTCTCTTGTCATCACTTCCCAAGAAATTCAGTTCCTGGGGGACCAAATCCTGGCTCTCCCAGGAAGCATTTGGCAAGGTTTCAGGCACCATCAGGTAGCCCATGTTATGCTGGAATATTTACTAAGTGAATGAGTGTTATTATCCCCATTTCATGGATAAGGAAACTGAGGCTTGGAGAGAGAAAGCACACACAGTAATCTCTACCCGTGGAATTCGGGGAGCTACGTGGCTGCTAGGATTCTATGATTCTGACCCTATGACAGGGAGAGAGGATGCCAAGGTTTAAGGAAACATGGAGATTTCAGGGTTCCAAAATTCCACGATTCTAAGCCTTAGCGCTCCAATAAACCAGGTTCCTGATCTGTGCTACCTAGTCCAAGCCTGGAGAGGCAGGCACCACCCACGAGCCCCTTTCCACCGGGTCTCCTGGGTCCCACCTCTTAGACCAGCCAAAGGATGCAATCTGGGCGCCCCCCGGTGGCCAGGAGAGAAAGGGAAGGAACGCGGTAGTCAGGAGCCTAACACCCAAGGGCAAAGCTCTGAGGCAGGGACAGGAGTGAAGGCGGAGAGTTCCAGGCCCCGCCCCAGAGCAGACTTCCTGCTTGGCAGACTGCCTGAGCGAGCTGAAGCGGCGGCTGCGGCAGGGGACCCCAGGAGCCATGGGGTGCACGCGTGATGCCATCCTGGATGCGCTGGAAAACCTGACCACTGACGAGTTCAAGAAGTTCAAGATGAAGCTGCTTTCAGTGCCGCTGCGCGAAGGCTACGGACGCATCCCACGGGGGACGCTGCTGCCCATGGATGCTGTGGACCTCACCGACAAGCTCGTCAGCTACTATCTGGAGGCGTACAGTGCCGAGCTCACGGTACTCGTGCTGTGCAACATCGGCATGCAGGAGGTGGCGGAGCAGCTGAAGGAGACCTTGCGCGAGGGTGAGTGCGCCCCCTCCACACAGGTCCAGACCAGTATCCCCTCTACACCCTCCTCCCAACCCAAAAGTTCGCCTCTCTCGGAGCTTCCGCTTCCCGTTTCTCCTACCCTTTAATAAAATCCTCCTGCTGGGATGGCTTCCCGCGCTTGGTACTGACCTTGGCTTCCGGACCAAGAGACCCCCGAACCCAGAAACACTTGGGAGACACCACTTAACATTTTCTTACAGGCCCCGGAACCACGCCAGCCGGGATCAAGGCCCCTCCCCAGACAGCAGCCAAGCCAGGTAAAGCCTTCAACGCCCAACCTCACCTACCTGGGCACCTCACCAGCCCCGCCCCACCGTACCCCTGCACAGCCTATCTCTTGTCCCAAGGCCAAGAGCACCTAAAGAGCACAAAGCTAGGCCAACCCTTCCCACCCACCTACTCACACACCTCCTGGGGCTGAGCCTGGCTGGGAGGAAAAAGGGAGACAAAGTTAAACTCATCCCACTATAGGTAGAGTCCTGGTGGCATGCCCACCTTGAACCCCACCGCTTAGGGTTGCATTCAGGGCAATTTCTAAAGAAAGCCTAGTGTTCAAGAGGGACAGGCTCCAGCACCCACCCTGGTCCCAGCTCATCCCCTCTCCTCCCTCCCGCCCCAGCACTGCACTTTGTGGAGCAGCATCGGGCAGCCCTCATTGCGCGGGTCACAGACGTGGATGGGGTGCTGGATGCCCTGTACGGGAAGGTCCTGACAGAGGACCAGTACCAGGCAGTGCGGGCGGAGCGCACCAATCCTACCAAGATGAGGAAGCTCTTCAGCTTTGCTCCAGCCTGGAACCTGACCTGCAAGGATCTGCTCCTCCAGGCCCTGAGGGACACCCAGCCCTACCTGGTGGTCGACCTGGAGCAGAGCTGAGGCATCTTCCCCAGCAGCGGTCCCACAGACAACCCCTGGCAGTTCCAGCCATCTTACCTGGAGTCTGTGATTTTTTTAATATACATATGAAAATCCAGCTTGTACTTGGTGTGTCTTCCTACTTCCAGCCTGGAAGCTCATGCGGAGCTGAGCTACATATCCAAGTGCCGCAGTGGCTCAGATGACGCTCTAGCCTCCACCTGTTCCTGGGGCAGCAGACTCCCCAAACACTTCATCCTTCCTGCCTCAGTCACCAAGGAATGGTCCCTCACTCATCATTTGGTGGCTCCCTTAATGCCACCCCACAGGGTCTGCCCTTGAGACCTGTGAACACAAGTTAGTCTTGTGGCCAAGGTCTAAAAATTAAAATAGAAATATGTACAAAGGGCCTGGAACTGTGGGGGGCCAGACTTGACATGCATTTAGAAAGACTCGTCTGCCAAGCTTCTCTTTCGCTTTTTCATAGGAAAACAAATTGCAAAATGAGAGCAATTTTCAGGGGAAGTGACAAGAGTACCATCTAAGCAGGAAACAGCACAAGCCACCGAGTGTCCCTAGGGCTCCTTCTGGCACAGACACCAGCAGGCGTCACTCCCTCTGCTCCCTCCCACCCGCTCCAAGAGGTTATAGGTTACACCCTGCCCAGAAAACATGCCAACCACAAAAGCAACTTCAGGAAATGAGTTCTAGTAGCTGTTCCCTCTCTTGATGAAATTGTGCCCACAAAAGAAAATAGGAGTATTTATTTCCACAAAACAGCACTTAGGGAGCCTTTCCAGAGGCAGTTAGGGAACCAGATTCTAGGACCACATCCTGAGTACACTTGGCACCCAAATTCTTTCTGGCCTGCAGGGAGTAGATGCAAAGCAACAGGCAGGCCCCAAGGAGGCCAGATATCCTATCCTTAGGAGTCAGATCATCAGACTCGGCGATCCAGATATGACGGTACAAAGTGTGCTGTTCACAACGATAGACCAGCACAGAATGGAAAAGCTGTATGAAGGCTTCACTTGGAACACCCTCCCTAGACACAAGAATTGACAGATGCAGTGTTTATCCCCCTCCCCCCACCCCACACAGTCTAACACTTCCCTGTTCTGATGACCAGATCACCAGAGCAACAGGAGAAAACAAGTTGTTCACTGCAGGAGGAAGCTACCAAAAAGCTAAGCTAATGACCACTGTCAAGGCTACAGTGACATGGGACTGCTCCTAATGCCATTTAGGACTCCAGGAGGAAAGCTGAGCCTCCCCAAAAGTGGGAATCAGCCCAAATACTCAGGATCCCGTGGGCTCATCTTCTTTGGCCAAATACCCCATAAAATAAGTGATGCTCCCCATTCTACCCTCAGCCCTTTTCTACCAAGACTTATTAAATCTTATAAACCAAGCCTCATTCAATCCCCGAGATGTGTTTGCTCACTTATGTTCTGAAGGACCTTGCCATTTCCCAAACTGAAGTTGTCTTCCTTTTACTATCCCTGTATCTCGACATATGGCAACAGCAGCAGCCTAACCAGAAAACAAGAAACACCAGCATGTTCCATAAAGTTTAGTCAGTCTTCCAACTTACATCCAAACACCTTCCTTTTCAACTTCACTGCCCCCATCTGGCGTATGCCTTCATGTCTTACCACAACAGGCCTCCTGATCTCCCTGCTTCTCGTCAACCACCTTAAAGGGCCTGAGTACTGAAAACTGATGATGGAAAAGGACTCCCTTCTAACACTAGCACACCTAAGCCCCGCTTCCAACCCGACCCTGAATAACCCCATCCAACCTCTCCTACCTTCCTCTTCACATACCACCAGATCTCAACACTACTTATACACCCTGCCCTACCGCACGCTGATCCCGACTCTGGATACCTTGAAACCCACCTGTCCTAGCATGCCCAGAGAGGGCCTTCCTCTGGGCTCCAGTGGCATTTTCACCTAGGTTCCCTGTGGTAGAGCAAACCATATTGTCACATCTACTTTCACACAGGACTCTCCCATTAGATCCCCACAAAAAGACATCTTTTCAACCTCTGTACAGTGCCTTGCATGTGAAAAATAACATCAGTTACTGTGTATGTCTACTGTCTTAACAGAGGATTTTTTTTTACACTTCATAGGAACCTAATGCTTCTCATGATATGGAGCCATAACACTTCCTTGCACAGCAGATGCTCAAACAGAGCAGCTACAAAAACTAGTGCAAGCCTGAGGCAAAAGACAGTTCTAAGAAACAGCTCCCCGAAGTTGAAAGACTTCTTGGGGGTTTTCTTTTTCCTTTTTATTTGGTGGGGGAGGCGGGGAGAAGGGTGAGGCTCAGAGTTCTACCAGCCACAGCATACTGGTTAAGGACACACTTCTGCAGCCAAAGGACAGATTCAAATCCCTGCTCTACCTCACTCACCAGTTATGAGACTTAAGGCCAGTTTGTACCTCAGCACCCCATCTATAAAGTAGGGGTAAGAGGACACAGCTCATCACCTAAAATCAACTGGCTCACAGTGAGCACACATTGGTGTCAACAGGGATCTCCACGATGTTTCTGTTCCTAGCCGCTCAATGGCTTAGGCTCCTCAGTCTGAAACAACATTTTCTGCTCAAACCTCTAAGCATCACAAGACTGAAAAAAAACAAAACAAGCAGATCAACAGGTAATGTCCACTGGGCCTGTGCTAATAAGAACAAAAACCCACATCCAGGACCCAGCCTTCCACGAGTGACCTTTTTCTTAGCTCCTGGCTTAAACTGTCTACATGAACAGTTTTGTACAAAACTGAGTTCCCCTTTCCAGACATGACGGGGGGAATTAGCAGAAAAGGAGTCTCTGCAGAACTTCAGAGCATCGCCAGAGGTGGCAGCACCCCACCAGGACCTATACACACTGAGTTAGAACCGACGTGCTAACCACATTGCCAAGCAATTCAGGTACGTATTCAACTTACACACTGCTATAGAGAGAATGTGGCTCTGCCACCTCAGTCAGCCTGTGACAGGTTTGCAGAAGCTTTCTCACAGAGGGATCTGCCTTTTCACTCAGGGAAAGAGTATACAGGATGGGCCCGCTTCCCCTCAAATTCTGGTTTAAGAGGGGAGGGAAAAAAAAAAAAAAAACAGCCATCAAGCTAAATCTGACAGGTTCTTACCTCAAGCAGGCTGCAGTGAGGCCCTAAGGATCCTGCACAGAACAGCTACAAGGAATCAGTGCAATTGTGCAACACTGCCACCCTGAGGTGCGCATGCAGAATGCTACCTGGAAAGCCTGGTTCCTGCTTCCCTTCAGTTTCTTCTTCCCATACCCACCCCACCCTCCTTGGCATTCTCTACCGGGAATGGCCTAAAGGTCAGTTCCCCACTACACACAAGGAATCCCCTATCTTCGACCGCGTAGTCCAAGCTCCCTTCCTGTCTCCAATCCCCACACTGGTGGCTCTCAATTATCCTTCATGTTAAAGGAGCCCTTCATGCTAGCACTACAACCCCAAGACAATCCAAAGAGCTGAGAGAGCACAATCCATCCACAGAGCACTATTTCCAGACCCAAACTCCTCTGACATACTTCTGTTCCTCCCTCAAAAATATTTAGGAATTTTAGGGCTTCCCTGGTGGCGCAGTGGTTGTGAGTCCGCCTGCCGATGCAGGGGACACGGGTTCATGCCCCGGTCCGGGAGGATCCCACATGCCGCAGAGCGGCTGGGCCCGTGAGCCGTGGCCGCTGAGCCTGCGCGTCCGGAGCCTGTGCTCCGCAATGCGACAGGCCACAACAGTGAGAGGCCCGCATACCACAAAAAAAAAAAAA